TGTGAAATATAGATAAGAAAAAAAAATCACATCAGCATAAATGAATAAAGCTTACACAGTGATCTCCATGGAATGACATTGTTATGGATTGTGTGTCTGTGAACACATGCAGTAATTACATTTACAACTCACTTAACATCAACATGAAAAAAAACCCAGTCACATTACAGTGAATCATTCTAACAGCAGTTACTGTGTGAATAAATGAAGACACGGCTTTAATCAATCTGCACTTCGCTCATAGATTGTTTTGTTTCAGAGTAACAAAGGTGGAGCAGCCGTGAAATAAACAGGAGTGAAGGAGGGAAAGAAAACAAAGAGAGAAGAACGTTTTGTTGGTGGTGTTGGTGCTCGCCCCACAGCTACGTCCTCATATTGTCTTTGGTTTGGTTTATTTGAAACTTCGTCAAGAATCCCTCTGAACCTCTCGGAGTAAAAGCCTCAGATAGTCCCTGCAGATGATCTTTAGCGAGGCGTCTCGGCTGCTTATAGAAAATTGTGTTTCTGATGTCAAGTGGTGTAAAACTCACAGTGTAGTCACAGGAGTACTACAGTAACCAAACAGATTCAAGACGGGCTAAACTGCAGTACTGATCAGCAGCAAAACCTGCTCTAAAAAATATTAGAGTTCTTTATCTGATTGATTAATCACAGCTATGGATTAATCACGATTAATCATGAATAGATATAATATAATTGTCATGACTGATGAGGATGAATCATCACTGGTTTATGATCACCGTGATAAGAAGCTGGACGGCTAATTATTGGATGTAATTTTTCCCAGGAGTTAAATTTGATTAAAGATTTGTATCTTTAAACAGAACATGAGCTGAAAACATGTGAGGAAATCGTGGGGGTGTATACCTGATCTATGTAGCTGCCTTGTGTCTTTGGATACATTTGCAGGTCTGTGAGTGAGAGTGTGGTTTTTTTTTTTTGGTTCAAAATTGAGTTTGAAGTCAGGGTCAGACTGAGGAGACCTCACTGCTGCTTTCATTCTCTCCAAGTATTTCAGACTGACTTTCATATTCCTCTGTCTTCCACTCGGCTATGTTTTAATAATAAATCACAAATATGCATATTTTATTAGCTTTTTTGTAGCGCAGTCGTGACACACTCTAATGTCTGCACATGTTCGGTTTGGAAGTTTCCACGCTGCTGATGCTGCTGCTGCTGCTGCTGCTGCTGCTGCTGCTGAGGGAAACCCTGTGAAAATAGGAGCGCTCTGTCCTCCCGCCCTCACACACTGTACGTCATCAGGCCTAATGAGAGAACCCCAGTCCCCAGAGTGTAGGACGTGGGAGTGGGTGAGTGGGATGAACGGATTAGCAAAAAGATGGATGGATGCATAATGTCTATTGGACCAAGACGGACCAGAGGACACGGAGAAGTGCAGTGCACAGAGACACCGATGATGTCGTTGTCTGGAGGAGTCATTTTTTCCGGCTCGGTGTTGTTCTGATTCATTAAGGTGAAGGTTTCTCTGACGTCTTCATTGTGTTCTCGCCCTGTCAGTCACACACACATTTCTTGGGTAAAAAGGTGTTTATTCTTGAAGGTCAGTGACATTTAGTGTCAATTATTTCCTTTATTCCTGTGTCATGTCATCGTTCGGTGTGAAGTGGCTTTTCTCATCTTTTGTTATTGACTTCAAAACTCACAGCAGTTAGACTCCAGTGACGGACGGAGAGATGATAAAAGCCAGAAGAAAAATGCTTTCTGAGGAAAGCGTGGGAGTCGGGAATCGGGGCTGATGGGATGGGGACGTGGTGATGGGGGAGGGGGTGAGAGAGTAGTCAGGACTGCTGAGGAATGGAAGACGGACTGGGGGAGCTGAGGGATGAGTATTGATTATCTGTGGGACGAGCTGGCATTTGTATTGATTCATGTTGGTGGCAGTGTGTACTGTACAGATAAATTAAGTACTGAGTGTGAAGAGACGCATTTTCTTCCACTATAACATAATACTGACTATTATCTGACCAACTAATGGGAGCAGAGCTGGAGACAGTACTGCTGGCCAACACTAAGTGCGGTGTGTGCTGACCAGAGGTCAGCTGGACCTGATACTGTGACTGACAAATGAAATGAAAGGTACAGACTCAAAAAAACACTCACCAAGTAGTTTTGGTTTTTCCTCATAAAATCAAAATTTTACAGACAGGAAACAGGAAACAACGATGGATTCAGTGAAGGAAAAAATATCGTTTAAAAGACCGTGGTTGTTTCTGTTGCACTGTTGTTGATAACAGTTGGCAGACTGTCATGTTGATGAGATGAATTAACGAGTTGATTAATGCACTGCAGAGACTGTGCAAAGTGGTCTGCAGACTGAACTTCTGTCTTTGTCCATTGGTGGTGGGTTCATCAGGGAGTCTGCAGTGATGACTGACTTCACCGAACGCTGTCACTAAAACAGCCCCGTCTTCCTGCTGCCTGTAATAAATATGCACAATTTAAAACTGCAGTGTCTCCGTGTGACTCACACTGAGTGGACGGACCGTCTGATTCAATATACAGCTGTGAACAGCCTTATAAAAATGAGTCGTGCCTGGAAGGCACCGGCTTCCTCGCTGCTTTCTAGGACTTTTTCACATGAGTAACTGAGATGGATTTTTCCTCTGACTCTCAGCCGGAGTCCTCCACTGCTAACTCTTTCAGTGCCCTGCTTACAATTCATACATTTGGGTGCATTTTTACCAATGTGCTCCCTAATTGTTTTTACCTGTTCAGACAGAACAATTCATACATTTGGGTGCATTTTTAACAATGTGCTCCCTAATTGTTTTCACCTGTTCAGACAGATTGGATTGGTGTCCAAATGTCTGAGGGATTTAAATCTAAATGATTGCTTTCAATCATTTCTTCTTCTCCTTTTTTTTAGGCCCAAAAAATATTTTTATGTGTTATGTTATGTGTTGGTGTCCAAATGTCTGAGGGATTTAAATGTAAATGATTGCTTTCAATCATTCCTTCTTGCTTGGTAGCTTGGTTGTATTATCAGCTGACTGTGTGTGTGCTCAGCGTTCGTGACCTAAAAGAAGGGCTGCTTAGAACTCAGATTTACACCAATTCACTTCATTAACACCCACGAACACACGCTGATGTGTTTTTCTGCTGCGTCTTCCTCCACCACACCAAACTAAACACATACACTTTGTTGATCAATGTCCAAGGCATCATGGGAGTATGAATTGATTGTCAAATCCAATTGCCTATAAAGACGTTAATGCGGCAGCAAAGGGGCGGTTGGCTGATTAAGTAGGGTCACCGAACCATGACCAACGGACCAAATACAACGTGAAGGATGATGCTGAGAGCAAGTTTTACATAAGGCTTGAAGTGACATGAAGAAAAAAACAAAACAAAACAAACACTGGCTGCATCTAGTCGAATGCATGTAGTATACACTACTATACATATATATTTAAATATTTCAATTTAAATACACGTAGCCCTGGTTATATTTCTGCTCATCAGTAAAATTCGACTTTTTCTTCCTGTTTGGTCAAAACAGTGATTTCACAACAACAGTTATTACGTTCTGCTGTGTGGAAATCTAAAAGTGCTTTTGCAGCAGATGCATTCAAGGCGATACTAAGGCTGGACACCATTTTTCATTAAAGGTACATTGCATATATTGCAGAAGCACAATGACAACAATGTCGTCTTCAGTTGTTACTAAGGCTGGACACCATTTTCCATTAAAGGTACATTGCATATATTGCGAGGGACAATGACAACAATGTCGTCTTCTTCACAAAAACAAAGGAAGTGCATAAAAATAGTTAAACTTAAAATTAAATATAACAAGTAAACCTAGGTGGGAGTCAATGCAGGAAAATTCAATTAATAATTAATTGTATTGCTCAGTAAAACATTTGACTGATACACAATTAAACAACTGTTTAATTGTTGTTCCCTAAACCTACGTGGTGTCTTTTTTTAACAGAGTCATGTTGTCTGATCGATCAGGTGATTTGTCTAAGAACAATAACAATAATAATTATTATTATTCCTATAATAATTCCTGCTCTGTCTCCATTATCTTCCGCCGTCTTCGTGGTGATGCATCAAACACGGCTGTGGTGCGTGTGCGCACAACTTTCTCTCCGTGCCTTTTGCGCGCACATGTGTGCGTGTCCACTGTGATCTACGTTCCCATAGCCGGGAATCACGTCACGTGTCAGGGCTCCCGGGTCCTGAGCCAAGTTTCTTTTTCTTTTTTTCTTTTTTTTTCGCCCCTTTCTTTTTCTACAGGCCCCCAGCCACAACCTCCGGCGCCCCCTTAGTGTAGGCATCCATTCGTCTTTCCCCGAGCAGACGCGCTACAACGCTCATTCGCTGGAGAGCTGAGGAGAAGGGAAACTGCCGCACGATGCCGATCTCGTACGCCGACTGCAAATACAACGTGAAGGATGATGCTGAGAGCCAGTTTTACATAAGGCTTGAAGTGACATGAAGAAAAAAACAAAACAAAACAAACACTGGCTGCATCTAGTCGAATGCATGTAGTATACACTACTATACATATATATTTAAATATTTCAATTTAAATACACGTAGCCCTGGTTATATTTCTGCTCATCAGTAAAATTCGACTTTTTCTTCCTGTTTGGTCACAACAGTGATTTCACAACAACAGTTATTACATTCTGCTGTGTGGAAATCTAAAAGTGCTTTTGCAGCAGATGCATTCAAGACGATGTTACTAAGGCTGGACACCATTTTCCATTAAAGGTACATTGCATATATTGCGAGGGACAATGACAACAATGTCGTCTTCTTCACAAAAACAAAGGAAGTGCATAAAAATAGTTAAACTTAAAATTAAATATAACAAGTAAACCTAGGTGGGAGTCAATGCAGGAAAATTCAATTAATAATTAATTGTATTGCTCAGTAAAACATTTGACTGATACACAATTAAACAATTGTTTAATTGTTGTTCCCTAAACCTACGTGGTGTCTTTTTTTAACAGAGTCATGTTGTCTGATCGATCAGGTGATTTGTCTAAGAACAATAACAATAATAATAATTATTATTTCTATAATAATTCCTGCTCTGTCTCCATTATCTTCCGCCGTCTTCGTGGTGATGCATCAAACACGGCTGTGGTGCGTGTGCGCACAACTTTCTCTCCGTGCCTTTTGCGCGCACATGTGTGCGTGTCCACTGTGATCTACGTTCCCATAGCCGGGAATCACGTCACGTGTCAGGGCTCCCGGGTCCTGAGCCAAGTTTCTTTTTCTTTTTTTCTTTTTTTTTCGTCGTGTCAGACCATCCACGGACCACGGAGCTTCTGCACAGCCAGACACTTGGCTCCGGCAGGCGCGCATCTCCAGCTCCGCGCTGCGTAACCAACATCTCGGCGACAATGGACGGGCGGATGGATGCGTGGCTGTGGAGAAAAGATCTTTTTGTTTAGAGAAACACTTTGACCCTGCCTCTGATTAAGTCAAGTGTTTTTTTTAAACTGGTTTTGGATTATCTCCAATCGGCGGACAACCCACTGAACTGGGGCTGTATTTTTTGAGGATAAGACGGGGAAAAAGGGAGAAGGAAACCGCGGGTCGTTGAGATCGACTGGGTGCGCTGGGAACACGGGAAGTCGCGGATCATGCTTATGGGAACTTCTGATTCCATCACAATAAGGTATTTGATAGAAGAATAAACTTTCTTTTTTTTCTTTTCCTTTTTCTGTTTTTACCTTTTCCCCCCGTGCGTTATTGTCATCAAAAACACAGGTGTTTGGATCGTCATTGGTTTAAGGTTGTTTTTTTTTTTTTACTTATCGCTTTTTTAAAATAAATACCAATTATTAGTACTTTCCTATTATTTTCCTAATAATAGCCCTCCTCGTTTTTTGTTCCTGGAGGTGAACAGTAACTGCCCCAGTCTTCAGATGCGCCTTTCATCCACCCACGGCAAACAACACAGATAAAAAAATAATTTAAAAAAACTCATTTAAAAAGCCTTTTAAAGAAGAAGATATTAAAGGTGAAACCCATAACAACTCCTATTCTGTCGCTCATCTTCTTAATATGATTACCACCAGAATAAATGAGGCATTCATATTTATTTATTTATTTTTCTCTTTTTTTCTCCCTCTTCCTTCTCTCTCTTCCTTTTGCGCATTCCCTGCCCACCAGTGCGTGGTGAGGGCTAAAAAACCTCCAGTAAAGCAGAGACAGAGCTCTCCATCTGTTCAATCACATAGCAACAGGAAAAGGAGAGAGAGAGAGAGAGAGAGGGAGGAAGAAAGAAAGAGAAACATACACACCGTGTCCACAGCTCCACTGTATGATATGTCAAAGCATTCTTTTTTTTTTTGTATCTTTATTGTGTCCTTCTCCTCTGTGTCAGTGTGAGGAGCCAACGTTGTGTTTACTTTGTATTGATTGCAGCTCAGCGCTGCAGTTTGGGTTTATGTTTTGTTTTATAGTCGCAGAAAGAGCGAAGCTTTGTTGGTTCTTAAGTGAAGACGGGGAGGAACAAAGAGCAGGGTTTAAAGTGACAACATGAATCCTCCTGGAACAAATGGTCATGAACTGCCCCGGGGCCGCTAGGTCGGTAGGCAAATATTGAAAATCTGTGCATAGATTGATTAAAAGAAAGTGTTTGGCTCCTGAGCGACTGGAGCAGGAAACAGCCTGAGCGTTCATCTGGCCGCTGTGTCACTGCTCCTCGGTGGATTTATCTCCTCCACTCCTACTCTCCTCTTTCACCTTTGCAAATAATCTTTTCTCTACTTCCATCTCACCCCACTGTGTCCAGCCCACTCTCTAACCTGTCTCTGTTGACCTCCTCCTTTCAGAGTGGCTCTGCCTGATGCTCTATCATGACTGATGGCGAGGGGAGAGTGCGCTTTCAGTACCCAGAGTGCGACGAAGGGCAGGAGCAGGAGGTTCACGAGGAGGTGAGGCTTGCCATTTCTACGGCCTACAGGGAGGAGGTTCCGGGTCGTGTTGTTGACCCCGGTGGGGGCCACGATGACAGTGTGGAGGAGGAAGAAGAGGAGGTTGACAGAAGAAGTAGAAGGGATGGGAGAAGGAGCGGCGATCAGGGAGAACAAGGAAGTAAATGGAGTCCTGAGGTTCAGGAACATGAACTGGAGCTGGAGGTGGAAGCTGGACCCACGCTGGCCGTCCGAATCACAGCGCCCATTCGTGACCCAGACTGCGTGTCGGAGGAGGAGGAGCAGCAGCCGTACCCGGCCCTGTCACCTGTGGCGTTCTTCTGCTTGAAGCAAACAACGCGGCCTCGGAACTGGTGTCTCCGCGTGGTCTGTAACCCATATCCTTTTACATGTGCTGGAAATGTAACTGTGTCGCAGCTGGTAAGTCCAAAAACAGCCACTCTCTGTATATAAAGCACATGAACACGGACGCGCTCACGTACGTCTCCCACTGGGGTGGGATGCTGGTGTATGATTCATGTGCTTTCAAGTCTAAAGTGCATGTCTAATGTACAAGTGCATGTGTAAACAAGATGATGATGTCAGCATCTGCCCTTAATGGGTGTTGGCAGCTGAGAGGTTTGCTCTGCTCCTGTCAATTTACTTCTGACCTGTCTCCCAGAGTCCAAACAAGGACAGTTCGTGGACACCGCACTGATAAAGAACGCCGCCTTATCAAAACACCACAGAAAATCACAGTTTTTTTGGCACAAGAGCCAAATTCAACTCTTTTTTATATTTACCAAAACTTTGGCTTTAGGGAAAGCTAAAGAGAGGCGTTCACTGACATGAATACCTGTATGACCACAGCACGTGTCTGTGATGATGCAGTCTTGAGCACCAGAAGTCTAAGGGAAACTGAATTCCAGGACTGATTCGCTGTCACTGTGCTCATTCATAACCTGTGTCTCAGTTACAAACTGTCCTGGTCTCCACGCTGTCCACTAATCCACTGTGTTGAACTGTCGCTGAGTTGATGTGGTTGATGTTTGTTTATGGTATATTTGGTGCAGAAGCAGAGAAATCGTGGCTTCATATGTATTTATAAATATTCCTGAATCCAAATTTTCTTGGAGAAGGTTTTCGGAGGTAGGTGATTGATCACTGCTAACTATGGAGGTCGAATTTTATTTGAGGGACTGAACTGATTTCTCTGCAGCTAAAGAAGAAAATGATGGCGTGACTGGAATTCACTGTCAACTTTTATCACTGAGCTCCATCTCAGTTTATATGCTGCAGCTGGCTGGCAGCCATTTGTGTTGAAAGTAAGGTGTTCAAAGAGAACACACAGAGGCCAAATAGTGGACGTGACATTGGGTTTTAGCTGCTTGTTTTTTTAAGGTAGCTTTAATGACTCCACATTTACACAGACACACCTAATCATTTTGATTTGCAGCAAAGTTGTAGCTTCTAATGTGATGGAGCGGTCGTTGATGTTGATGCTAACGGCCCTCCCTAGACTATGGTTATATCAGTGTAATACAGATAAGTGTTTGTTCATTTATGTCTTTATTTCACTTAAGGTGGAACAAGAAGATTGGGCCTGAATTTGAGACGAAAAATTCAAACGAGACTAAACTGGAAATTTACTTCACCGTCATCCGACCAGTATTGTGTTTGACTTTTGTGCTCTTGATTCAAACACGTATTTAATCAGTGGCGTGTTGACTCGCAGAGCTGGGAATCAAACCCAAACCTCCTATCATTTTATCATTCACATCTGAAGCTTGCCTCCCAAATGAGATTTTCTGATCTTCTCTTCAAGTAAAGTCCTATTTACATTCAGAGGAGTCGGAGAACTGGATAAAAAGCAGATTTAATCATTTCATTTTTCATCTCTTCGCCTATTTTTCTTGATTGAATGAATCATTGAAGGAGTCGGATCTTCTGAAATCTGAACCAAACTGATATGAGATGTTGGAGAACCGAGCCAATCCAAGAAAGTAGATTTTTAATATAGGGAATGGAAATGTTCGCATTTGAAACAATTTCAAAATGAGGTCATTTTTGAAAGTCACAACAATGGATGTCTTGTTAGTTGGATTTCCCATCCATTGGTTTTTATTTGAGTGTCCGGCCCCCAGGGTGTCTGTCCCTACCACCCCTTGATCTGGGACCTAGGTCTCATGAAGGATCTTTAGGTGAGTCTCAGTAATAGGACAACCCAGGTCCCAAATGTAGTGGGACATTTGATTCTCCTTTTTGTCAAGATCTGAACCGAAAATCCAGCACAGAAAACCAGAGGTCCGATGTGTGAAGACGTTCCAACTTTATCCAGTCTGACGTTGGCGCTGAAACACTGATGAGACGACATATGGCTGTGCAGCGTGTGCTTTTGGACAGATGTTAATGTCGCATTGTATACAATCATGTCCTGGTCACGGTACTGCAGTCGGGGGATAAAGTGGAGGGCTGCAGTGGGAGGCCACCGCAATTAGACACATGCTTCAGTGGTCAGCACATGTGCCGTTTGTGTGCTAATCACATTTCTGATTTGCGAGCGCTGACGCTGTGGTTGTTGGCCGTCCACCGCCGTTTGTACCGGTTTGATAAGACGACTAATGAACGTCGCTCTGTCACATGCACGGCGTGATAGCTGCGTGGTTAACACTGGAACCAGTTGATGTCATCAGGGCTGATCAGACTGGGCGGTTCTCTGGCTTTTATTCTCCTGTGTGTGTGTGTGTGTGTGTGTGTGTGTGTGTGTGTGTGTGAGGAGCCCACAGTGTAAGCAGAGCAGTGTTGGTGGTCCACAGTGAACTCTGTAAATATTATCCACAGCATAAATGCTCTGCCACTCAACCGAACAGAGGCATACACTATGTATACACACACACACACACACACACACACACACAGTCCTTAAACAGCGCTCAGGCCTGTTTTCTTTTACTTTCTCCTCCGCTCTCATATAACTTCCAGATTTGTCACAGACTTTTTTACCAAATGCTGTGAATATTTCGTCCGTGTTGAACAAAGAAACAGCTCCACGGTCGGTACGAGAGCGAGAACTGCTGTTTGTCATTTTTATTATGCCCCCACTGACCCCTGTCCTGCTTTTGGACCCCTCAGAGCGCATGTGAAGCTCAAGGCCCGTGGACCCAATCTGGCCCGTCATGTCTTTTAATACGGCCCATCTGAGCTCCACTACTAATTTGTTTGAATTTTCAATCAGTTTCAGTCAGATTCTTCATTTCTAGTTGAAGCTTCATCAGTACTACAACTGTTCTAGAACTTTCCAATCCTGTTCAGCCCACATTCAAGACTGAGATTAGAGCAATTTGTACAGTGGGCAGTGGGAGCCATGACAACGAGTGTTTCTGAGAGACACGTTTGACAGAGTAATCATGTTGATTAGTTCAGACTGGGGTCGGACGTGGTTCATCTGTGCAGACGAGTGGATTCATCACTGAAGATTTATAATCTCTCCGCATTTGTTAATGTGGCCACATGAAGTGATAGTGAGCAGAGCTTCGTGCCTGGTACAGATACCGGTGTCTGAATCGGTGCATTTTTACTATCAACTAAAAGTAAGTGGATCTGTGACAGAAACTGCACCAAGAGTAATTAAACAACTCCTTATCTCTTCCACCTCATGGCAGTAAACTCGGATCATTTCCCCTGGTTTCCATGGCGACGTGATGCCAGAGACGCTGTTATCTTTGTCTGGTGTATTTTGGTGTATCCATTACTTCATCCCTGAAGTGACATTGACAAAGGGAAGTAGCCTTGATTTCTTAATTTAATGTCTCAATATGTATGTGTGTGTGGAGTGTGTGTGTGTGTAAAGACACTACAAGGACTTCATCTCATCAAGCCTCATCTCTGCCACTCTCATCACACCGTCTATTGTGAGCACCTAATCTGTGTCTGCGCGTGTTGTTTGGTGACTCATTATATTTGGCCGTGCTGAGGATAACAGCAGATTGTGGGTCACGGAGAGTGCAGTCGGAGGGATCCTTTCTGTGACGTACCAACTACAGACCAACCCTGCACAGACGGCCTGTGTGCGGTGTTTACTGCTCCTCGGAGCATCACTTCATCGCACGTCGTCTGTCACAGATTTATGACAAAGCACCAGATGTAGTAACAGAACCCGAAAACTGTGTTCACTCCAGTCGACTCCACGCACAAAACCAGACCGTCGCTGTAGACACGATTCAGTCGAGTTTGTTTGGAAATAGTGTAAATGTTTGTTCAAACTCAGAGAAAGATGAAGGAATGAAGACAGGGTTTAATTCATGAAAACATTTGTGAGTATAAAAAGAAGGATTTCAGTTTCTTTAAGGAAGATTCAAGTATTAAATAAGTGTTTTAATAGACTGCGACATTGGCTAATAAGAAGACAACAATGCTACGTTGTTTTGCCATCAATGAAAAAAATGTCTTTGCTGACCTCTTCAGGATAATCTGGTCAGATGAAATATTGTATGGAGTTGTGGATTAGTTCTAAAATGTTCCCAGTCGATCGATTCGACCTGAATGGTTCTGGGGTTGTGGGGTTCATTCCCGGCCTGACTATTTAGTGGAAGCTTTGCAAAAATGTCTCAGACAAACAGACAGACAGTCTCAACAGAGTTGAGCTTTTGCCATGTGAACATAATTGTACGGGTGACAGGTGTCTGTGCATGAGCAGTCGCACACACACACACACACACACAAACACCCAGACGCCCAGGAGTAAGCACACACACACACACACACCCAGACGCCCAGGAGTAACGACCGTGAGCACCCGGCATTTAAACACTTACCCTCTCCTGTCCAGACTGCTGAGTGTCAAACTCCACAGGAGGCAGATTTTCACCAAGCTGCTGTGTTTGTGCTGCAGGCTGTAGCGTCGCCTTGTTTCACTTCCTGTCAGCTGAGCTCAGGTCCAGACAAACGTCTGTCCTGCAGATGATTAATGGAAGAACAGCAGGGTCAAAAGTTCAGTGAGTTTCACTTTTGACCACGTTAGGTTGACGGTGAGAAAAAGTTAATAATTGCAGGTCAGTTTTACGTTTTAATTTGATCTACATCAACCAAATGTTAACACATATCTAACATCAATGCGTTAATGGAAAACACCCCATTTGTTGGTGGTTATATTTCCTAACCCAGAGAGGATCAATAAGACAATCAATAAAGGAATTGTAATCAATACATTCCTAATAATTCCCATCCCCAGTCAGTATCCCATCCCACGGCTCCTTCGAATGCAACGCTGCAAAGGGGTTCAAAGGTCGTACAGCATACCTGTCAGGGGCAGTTTGTTTATCAGGCCCTCATAATTAAAAAAAAAAAAAAATCTGACCTTTCCAGCTCTATCAGCTCTCTCTGAATTAATAAAGATTGA